TACTTCCCAGTTCCACTGTTTTCAGCTTCCAGCTGACGTTCTTTGAGGGATCCGGACTTGAAAATCTTGTATTGTGCATGTTGATAGAAGAAAAAAGACACCACAAGAACACCGAGGTATAGTAAATGATTATTTTTCATCACAGTGCATCCCTTGGGACAACGCCAAGTTAGAACACCGGTTCGTGCCTCTTTTTTCAAGTAAAACTTGGTTAAAAAATCACATTATGTAACGGACATGATCCAGCATATTTTTTCTGCAGCTGACTCGCGCAGGTGCTCTCGCCCAACTTGTCCCCCAGGCCAATTAAAATCAAGTTTGGCATCCGTGTATTGCGAAAGATGCGTGTATGACTTTCCGATATTTCACGAGTTGGAGTAAATGGGAGATAAAAAAAAACAGAGTCAGAGGTACATGAAGGACTTACCCTGCATACGTTAGATGACAAATATGGAGACCCTATAGAGTGATCTAAGTACCAGTTGAATTGAATCTCGTTTTCGGATGGGCTGCAGTTTGTAAGCAGCTTGAATCAGCCTGGCGGCTGCGTTTCCAGATTCACGCAGAAATAATGAATCAAAATGATCCAGAGTGGGTTCAGTGATGGGATTGAAGTCGACAGAACTAGTGACGAGTAACTTGAAGTAACCCTACGGTTTTGTTTCGAAGATGAAGGCAATTGTTGAAAGGCTTCTTCACATCATTTTCATGACCTGAAAGTTTACATCACCATGGTGCTTATATTGTGCACGGGCTGCCCAACTTGTCCGAGTACTCTCATCTTGAGTCACTTAACCTTGTGAAGAGTACAGACACAACAAACCATAACTTTGCTCAACTCGGATTTCGTAGGTACCAAAATACAGCTGAAGAGCGCCGAAACTTGAAAGCTTTAGCCTTCCTCAGTTTCGTCGAGGAATTCGTGGATGTAGGGTTTAAAAAAAAGAAAGCCCTCAAGGCCCCCTGGACAAGGGGGGAGAGATCGAGCAACACTTGATGTGTGATGGTCCTATCTAGATGATATGATTGAAGCTCTCAGTTCATATCATCAGCCAGCGGTTCTGCTCGCACCACCTTTAGTGTTCCATTATCCTCCAGTCTGCGGTGTCTTCCTTCAAGAAACAAAACACGGCCGAAGACTGCGTATTTCGACATGCCACTGGCTTCAGGGGGGAGGGAATACTCAAAATAAGTATGGGCGACTCAAGCCCCTATAATTCAAGGATCAAACAAATATTCTCGCGGGAATCAACAGTGGCACAGTTCACATAACCTTTTCACAAGATTGATTCAGGTTCTCCGGCGCCAGCTTTGCCGGGATGATTTCTTGTCAAAGAAAAAGGTTTGAAGTGTTTAATTACGTGGTTCATCGTCATATAACATGCTTCATCGAATCAAGTCCATGTCGGCCGTTTATGAGCATCACCTCCTGATTTTTTTTGAGAACTTCACTGGTGAGTACATGATTTCTGTTCGCTTGTACGGGCTCAGGAGTCACGGCACCGGGGATCAATAGCGCCCCAGTTTTGCGACTTGGATCTGTTTTTTATTTTACAAAAAAAAACGGGCAAGCACGATTAGGATTTGAAATGGTCTTCCCTCAGCGATATTCGCAAGCCTGAGAAAAGCATCTTGAAGAGGATCCGGAGAAGGCCGACCTCTCTTGGAAACCCGGCCTGCGGCAGGATCTGATCTGGGTCAAGTCTGAGATCTATCAGGATTCCAGCTTTCAAATAATACTCTTAGGATTACTTAAATATTATGGGTCAATTCTTAATGGCCTAATGTTGACTATGGTTGGGCCAGCTTACAGAAACTGATAGGCCCTCATCTACACGGAACCAAACATCCGCTCCGTGGCACCTGAATATGATGTATAATTTAACTGAAATAATGAAAGTCCCTCGCGGACTTAGGCCAATGGCCGTCAAATTCTACCCCCGAGGGTCTCGGATAAGTTGGTGCGTGCTGCGTTCCGATAGCAGTTGTGATTGCCCACATGTTTTATTTTAGCATGCTTTTTTGAAGGTTGGTTCCAAAAAATGATTTGTGCAATGCCGCAAGATTGTAGGTGAGTACTATACATCAGTTTTTTGCTCCCTGTCTGTCATATCACAAGGCCACTTCAGTGTACCGCGTACATACCCGCGAGGACCACAGCCCCACATTGTGCTGGAACAGGTTCCCAAGAATGTGATTCTTCATTTGTATGTACAGTGGGTGGACCGTTATTTTTGGCTGCTTGTTTTGGATTCCAGAGGTTCAAAGCACAAACTTCAAGTCACAAGAGTTGGTGAAGTGGTGCAGAATAGGTCCCAAAGAATGAATATGAAAAAATAAAAACAAAAAACAAAGTTTCAAAATCTGTGAAAAATAAAAAATAAAAATATTTTTTCCAAAAGCTTTAATATTCATTTTGGGGGAGTGTGAGTGCTGGAAGAAAGAAAGAATTTCCAATGGGAAGATTTTCTATTCAACTGTGTTGATATTGAATTCTTGAGCTACATTGAAAGATGATTGAAAAATACCAAAAAAAAGGCAAAAAAGAGGAAAAATATACAAAGTTTTTACAAAACAATTTTCTATTGAACTTTTCAGAATCATTTCTTGGAACTCATTTTCCACAGTTTCACCAGGAAGTGTAAATTTCATTCCATTGTTTTTCCCTCTAGACTCCAATTGAAGGGTTCCATTTTTTCTGTCAAGGGGCTGTACATGTTTTGTTTTGATGATTTTTGACAATTGGTATGTTTTGTGATTTTACTCCAAGATGCCACCTGACATGCACTGGACTCACATTCACCAGGAAGCATGGAATCAAGGGAAACAAGACAAGACACATATTATTTTTTCTCTCACCTGCAATGTCAATGTAAGCAAGATGAAAAATACACTTTTCATTGGCAAAGCAAAGCAACCTTGCTGTTTTCTGAAGAGGGATGAGACTTTTTACAACTACAAATACACATTTGATTCAAATGAATGGATGACTGATGATATTTTCCAACACTTGTTGTCACAAGATCCCAGAAGAAGGTGTATCCAACATTGAAGTCAAGTTTTTTGCTCTCAACCTCACCAGGCATGTCCAACCATTAGCGGCTGGAATAATAAGTCCTATTGTTTCAAGAAATTGATCTCAAGAACAATCAGCCTTTTTTCTGAAGAAGCTGCCACAGGGATCCCAAAAAAAATCTTCTCAATGTTAATCACC